ACTATTTATTTATATCTTTTTATATAAAGTCTAATACTTTAAATATTAATAAATATTATATAATACTATTTTAGTCTGTAGATACGGTTTCTTTTTTTGGATTTCTTAATTAAAAAGAATTTAAATATATTTATTATTAAAGTATTCAGACTAATCTTCTTATTCTGCTTATATTAGTAGTTTAATACTTGCTGAATTTAGTCCGGATTATTTTTTAAAACTAGTATAATATTATATATTAGACAAGCTTAAATTTAGAAAAAAATAATATATTATATTTTTTTATTAACTAACTTTAGAAACAATTAGAAAGCCGAAACCAACTATTTTATTAATATAAAAATAAGCTAAAATTTACTTATTTAATAAAAGTAAAAATATCTATTAATAGTAGATTATATTATTATATTAAGATATTATTCTTTTTATTTACTAGACTAATTTAAAGTATAATAAATATAGAATATTAGGCTTATAAAAGTAAAGCAATTATACAGATAGATATTTAATTATTAAAAAGTAAAGAGATTACTGCTAAAATAAATCTAATAAAAAATAAAATAGGTAATCTTAAAAACTATTAAAAATAAAAAATAAAATTTTATAACTTAATATATATTATTATATTATAACAGGTTTTTGTAGTATAGTACTTGTATATCTGGATTAATATATAAATAATTACTGTTTAATATTCTAATTTAGAATAAAGTAAGATTAGCTGTAGACTAAATATTTAAAAAACCAGCTAATATAATTATATTAATTTTTACTTAGATCTAGATGTTTATAATATGTTAGAAACTACTTAACGCAGTAGATATGCTGGTTAGGCAAGGCAAGCAAAATAGTTAAAAACAGTCTTCTATTAATTTTAAAACTAATTCTTAAGAAATCTTCTTCTCTAAAAAATCTCAGAATAATATATTATATAAAAAGAAGAGGTAAATAATATAATAATATAAATATTCGGATTAAAATCCTAACAAATCCGTATCAATTCTAAAGCAGCTATTATAATAGTAAATATAAATTATTATAGTAATAAATATTATATAATAATTATACTTCTCTACTAAGCTGGACTATCTAATATAATAATATAATTATAAATAGCTTTATTATTTATTTTAATTAGATATTTCTGCTAGTAATATTTTTTAAATAATAAAGTTCGGTGCTGTAATAGTAAAAAAATTATTTAATAAACTATATATTTTATAAATAGAAGATTTTAGAGCAGTAAATAAAATATATATTTTATTAATAATCTAATTAGAATTCGATATAAAGTATATATATAAATAAAAAAAATTAATATATCTTTATTTATTTTTATATTTTAACTTTTTATTAAATCTTTTTTTTTATATTTTTTTTTATTATTTTTGCTTTTATTTTTATTATTTGTTTTATATTTTATTTGTTAATTTATTTTTTTAAAACTCTTATTTCTACTATTTTTTAATATAATATTAATAATTACTTGCTGTTGTTTGACCGATATATCTATTATATTTAAAATCTTTTTCTATCTATATTATTTAAGAATTAGTATTAAGAATTTTAATATTATTAATATAGAAAACTTTATATCTGGTTATATTTTTAATACTATAACATCTATAGTATATAAATAATATTCTAGTAAAAACCAGATTTATTATTAGATATATTTTAACAGCTTTTTAATAAATTTCTTAGGCTAATAAGAACTAGATTTTAATTAATATACTAAAAAATACTCTTAAATTTTTATAAATTTTAAACTAAAGTTAGAAATTTTTTATCAACTATACTACTTCCGACTAAAATCTAGATTAAAATCTAATATTTTATATTTAGATTAATTATTTAATTCTAATTTTAACTATTAGTTTTAAAATAGCCGAGCTGGTTTACTGCTATAAATATAAACATATTAATATTAATAAGTCTAAGATTACTATATATTTTTCTATTAATTTTTTATTAATTTATAGACTAATTTACTAGTTTAATTTAGTTTTTTATTACTTTTTTATTATAGGCTGTTATTTTATTGCGGATAATCCAACTATATTTTATCTAATATTTAGAAATAATAGGTTTTTTTTATAAACTAAAGCTAAATAGATATTTTTTAAGAAAATTTACTGTAAGATATATATTATATATAACAACAAGACCTTCTTCTAAAATTTTTATATTTAGAAAATAAAGTAGATCTAATTTTTTATTATTTATCTTCTATAAGAATAGTATTAATTAACCGGATTAATCCGGTAGTTTTTTAATAAAAGTCCGGCTTATTTATAAAAGTTTTTTATTTTAATTATATATTTTAATATTAATTTTTAAATATATTTAATATAGCAATTTAATATAAATTTAGTTATTTTTTTTATATTTAAAAATAAAATATTTTCTGTTGTTCTAATTTTTTTTTTATTTTTTATAGTTTTAAATAGCTTGTTAAATATTATCTATAGATTTTTCCGGGATTTATTTATTATATTTACTTAGCCAGCCTGTTTATTTAATTAAAAAATATTATTTATTATTAAAAGTCTGTTTATTTTTAATATTTTTAATCTTAAACTTCTCTTTCTTTTCTAAATCTAAAAAATAAAATTAGTTTTATAAATCTATACTAAATTTTTATTATTCTAATAATAATATATAAAAAATATTATAAATTCGACTATAACAGTTAGATAGAAAAATTTAATAAATTTATAATAGAAGAGAGAATAGAAAGAGAACAAATATAATAAAAAAAGAACCTACCAAATAAAATAAAAACTTAAAAATTAAAAATAAAAAAAATAATAAGATAAGACTTTTCAAAAAAAAAGAGATGAAATAGTATATTATAATATAATATTATTACATTACTAGATTAGTGCTACGAAAGTAATAGAATAGACTATAGTATAACAAACCTAGCAAATTAATTTAAAGCTAAAAAAAAAAAATTTTAGAAAAAAAAAAACCGACCACAAAAAAAAAAAAAAGATAAATAAACAAAAAAAAAAACAAAAAAAAAAAAAAAAAAAGAGAAAAATAAAAAATAATAATAAAAAAAAAAAAAAAAAAAAAAAAGAAAAGAACAGAATAGAAAAAATTTATAAAAAAAAAATAAAAAAGATAATATAAAAAACTCAAATATACTTTTAGAATAAAAATAACGGTAGAAGAAAAAAACACTGAAAAAAAAGAAAGTAAAATAAAAATAAAAAAAAAAACAAAACACTAATATTTACTAGAAAAGAAAATCTTTATTTAAGATTATATTCTAAAATAGTTTAAACTAAAGTTTAATTTTTTTATAAAAGAGTTCAGCAAGTTCTAAAATAGTTATAATATATAAAATAAATAAAAATTAATATTATTTTATAAATCTATTTATAATAATAAGAATTAAATCTAAAATATTATTTTTTATTATAATAGAAGATAGACCTGTAATAAAATCTATAAATAATTTAATAAAAAGTTAGCTAGAAATCGGTAGTAATTTAAGCTTATTATATAATTTATATCTAATAAATATAACTTTTTAATATATAGAATATTTTCTGATATAAATAACTATATTTTTCTAAAGATTTATTTAATAGAACTTTCTTTTAAGAAGAGTTTTTATTTTTATATATTCAGAATACTGCTAATATACTAATATATTTATTATAAAATAAGCTTATTCTAATAGTTTTAGAATATAATAAATTCTTATATTTATATACTCGGAACGCTGCTAATATATTAATATATAAATTATAAAATATTTTTATTCCGACAGTCTAGCTAACTGCTTTTATATCGGTTTAATTATATTTAGATTCTAATAAACTTAATATATATTAGCGGGTATAGAATTTAGAACTTTTTTATAAAAATATTTTATTATATTTTAGCTAGAACTTTTTTAAAACTAGCTATAATCTTATAAAAAATTTACCAGTTATTTAATATTATATTAATTTTAGAATCTCCGTATTAGATAAGACTTTTAAGTTTTTTTTTATTTTTAATAGTAAATCAGCAGGATTATATTTACCAGACTAATATTAAATAATAAAATTATAACTATTAAAATATATATATTATTAAGCCTAACAGCTGTTCAGCTTCGGCTGTTTTATAAAAATCTAAAAATTTTAATAGTTTAAAAAAATTTTAATAGTATATAATAGCCTTTTAAAATATTAATACTAATACTTAAATAAATAAATAATAATAAAAAACTTTTAGTCTAAGATTAAATAGTAAGTTTTAGTATTATTAAACTTTTTTAATCAGAATATAATAGAATAGTATACTTTATAATCATCTGGCTGGAACAGTATTTCTGTTATATTTTATTAAAAAATATCTGTTTTTATCTAGATTTTTTATTAAAAATTAAAATATCTTAATAAAAATACAGTCTTAAAATTATAAAAAAGCTATTAAAATACTACTATTTTTTTACTAGTTAATATTATTCTTTCAGGCTTTTTTCTATTCTGAATACTTTTCAAAAAAAAGATTAGTAGCAATATAATTAAAAAATAATTCTTAATAAAATACTAATAAAAATTATAGAATTTTAAGAATACTTAAATCTTATAGTATATAATTAGTATTAACTATATAAAAATATTAAATATCCGTTGGGAATCTATCGATATATTATATAAAAATATAATATATTCTAGAAATTTAATATAATCTTAGTAAAAAGTATACTTTAATAATTTAATATAAAGATCTGCTTTTTATAAATATTCTAATACTTAATATAAATAAAGAGTATACAAAGGGCGGTTTTTTAAAAAAATAAGAATATTATCTAAATAAATAATACAGAAAACATCTAATCTATTATAAAAAGCTAAATAAATATAGTTTTAAAATATAACTGGAGTATTAGTTAATTTAAAAAATATAACTAAATATTTAAAATATTTATAATAAGTTTAAAAGACTGTTTTTTATTTATCTTTTTATTTAATATAAATTTAGTAATATATATTTTAAATATTTAGTTTAGAGAAATATTTGGCTTCTATAATTCTATTTAGAATTTCTAAAATTAGAAGTAAAGAATAATAATTTTTAACTAAAATCTTATTAAGTTTTCTATAATCTATATATAATCGAAAGTTTTTATTTTTTTTTAATATAAAAAGAATAAAGGCTTCTATAAGACTTTTAAAAAATTAAATTTATTTTAATTAAATATTTTTATTAATATAATAATAAAGAAATTGGAGCTTAACTTAAAATAAAAAATAAATAGATTTATATAGTAGAATTTTGCTATTTTTTAGATTAATAGTATAATCCGAGAATCTATAAAAAAAAATTATTAAAAATAACTAGAAAAAAATATATTTATAAAATCTTAAAACTTAAAAGATAATATAATCTTATTAAATCTAATTTATAAATAATTCAAAAAGACTTTATCTTCTAGTAATTAGATATTCTTTAGAAGTTTAATAATAATATAAATATAAATAAGATTTCGGTAAGTTTTTATAAATTTATAAAAGAATAAAATCTTTAATATTTAAATCTTATACTATTACTGTTAATTCTATATAAATAGATAAATATATAAATCTTCTAAAATAGTTATTAAAAATAGAATAGGACTTTCGGAAAGATCTGAATTATAATTAATAATTATATAATATTTTATAAATAATTATATAGTTCCCCTCGAATTAGTAGCAGTAATAAGAATTTTTTATATATTATAAATATTTATAATAAGATAATTAATTATAGTAACTAATAGAACTATAAAACAGACTGTATTTAAATAGAATTATTAAATAAATTAATAGCTAATAAAATTAATTTTAGTATATAAATCTAAGTTTATATAGATTTCGAGTATGTTTTTAAAATAAATAAATATATTAAAATAAATAGTAGTCTTTATTTTAGGCCAGTTTATTAAAAATATAAAGATTTTTTTAATTATTATTCTTTTTTTATTAGTTCTGGTTTAGTTTTATTTTTATTTTTATAAAAATATTAGTTAGCTAAATAGTATTTACTATTATATTTATAACAGTAAAAGATTTTTTCTTTTTAATTTCTTTTATTTTAAGAGGATTTAAATAGAAAAAACTTATTATTAGACTATAAAAATCCGGATTCTTTAAAAATCTTATTTAAATAGTATTTTTAGTTTTTTAAATCTTATTTTCTCTTTCGGTTTAATATATTCTAATAATAAATAATAATAGATATTATTTTCTCTCGAAAGTCCGGTAGTTTTAATATATATTTATAAATATATTAACTAAGTTTCAGTACCAGCTTTAAAAAAAAAATTAATATATATTTATTATTTTATTTAGATTCGAAATAATACTCTAAAATATTTAAATAAAAATAAAAATTTTTTAGATTTTAATTAATTTACTGGTGGGTCTATTCAACCTGTTTTATAATATTAGATTATAAAATAATTATATTTTAAATAAAAAAAAGTTTATTAGATAAAATAATCCTATAATTTTTTAATATTTCGGCGGTTTTTTAAAGATTTTTTATTAATATATTAGTACTATTTCTGCCAATAGATAAAATCTAAATAGTTAACTGTAATTAGAATTTTTTAATTTTCTATTCGATACTTTTAAGGGGCTTTTTTAAAAATATATAATAAATTATAAATCTATTCTGTTCTCTATTATAAACTAAACCGAAAAAAAAATAGAGATTTTTTTAAATTTAATTTTTTTTTTATTTAGAAGATAAGATCGAGCTAGTATAATATTATTATAATTTTATTAAAAATTTAATATCTTTATATTCTATTTATAATACTTAAACCTGTTTTTTTAATTATTTTAATTATTTTAATTAGTAAATAGTAGCTTGCACTTTTTAAATATCTATCTAAATTAAATAATATAATTTAAAGATAGATAAAGTGCCTTAAAATAATTCTGATAAAGATTTATTAGATAATATATTATTTTTTCTTAAATAATTAAAAAAAAGAAGAATTAGAAATTATTAAAAATTATTTAATATAGTAGACATGCTGGTTAAATAAGATAAGTAAAATAATTAAAAATAGTTTTCTATTAATTTTAAAACTAATTCTTAAGAAATCTTCTTTTTTAAAAAATCTTAAAATAATATATTATATAAAAAGAAAGGATAAATAATATAATAATATAGATATTCGGATTAAAATCCCGATAAATCTATATCGACCCCGAAGCGGCTGCCATAGTGGTAGATATGGGCTGCTGTAGCGGTAGGTATTGTATAACAATCTGAAGCTTGCTGCTTGAAGTATTCCGATTAATATATATAAAATTTTAAGTTTTATTTTTAGAAAGATTGGATAGTAAGCTAAAAAATATAGAAAGTACTAATTATTCGAGTATATCTACGTATATTATAAGATATTTTATACAACTATATACTAAAATCCTATATTTACTATTATTTTTACTTAAAACTTCTATAAAAAGTATTATAGGTATTAAAGATGTTGAAGTTATCTAAACAACAGCAGAAAAAGATTTATATAAGTAAAAATATAATAATATAAGTTGGACGGTAGAAAAAGAAAGCTGGATCTTAGTATAAAAAAATAAATAAAAAATAGTATAATAAAAACCTGCTAGTAAATATACAATATTTAAATATTCTAGTTTTACAAGTTTAGAAGCGGAAAAAGAAAAGTTATTATAAAAAGAAAAGTTGGAATAGAAAAATAGACAATTTTTTATATAAATATTTATATTTATAAATAAACTGGAAGCTAATTATATTTTAATATACTTTTTAAAGTATATTATTTTAATTTTAATATTAATATTTGTAATATATTACTCCTTATATAAATTAGTAACCAATTATGGAAGAGGATGAAAAGGGTAGAAAGAATAAAAAAAATAGAAAGAATAAAGAGAATAAAAAGAATAGAAAGAATAAAAAGAATAAAAAGAATAGAAAGGATAAAAAGAATAAAAAGAATAAAAAGAATAAAAAGAATAAAAAGAATAAAAAGAATAAAAAGAATAAAAAGAATAGAAAGAATAGAAAGAATAGAAAGAATAAAAAAAATTAAAGCATATCAGCAACTAATTAATCTTCTTATAAATAAAAATAAGAATATAAATAATTTTTCTTACTTTTAGCTATTACTAGCAGTTAAAAAAAGTAGTTAAATATATATTCTGGTTATAATATATATAAATAAAGATTTAAAAAACTAAAATTAAAAAATAATTAGCTAGTTCTGTTTATTTTTTTTTACTATTTTTTTAGTTAACTAGAAGAAATTCTGACCTTATTTTTATTATATTATATTCTAAGTTTTAATTCTTTATACTAAGTATATTTCATCTGTAGTAAGATTTAATTTATAATTATTTTAATTTTTTAAAAAAATTAATATTTATAGATTAGTATTATATATATATTTTTTTATATATAGTATTTCTGTAGATATAAAAAAAATAGAATTTATTTAATATATTAATTATTAAAAAATTAATATAAAATATAAGCCGATAAGAAAAAAATTAAAAAAAAATTCTATAAATTATTATAGAGATTATCTTATTAATTCTAATACTTTAAAAAAGTATTTTTCGGATAAGAAGTTATAGAATTAAATAACCAAAATAGAATATAATTATTTATTAAGCTGAATAGAGAAATTAATATAATTTAATATATATTAATTTAAAGAAAAACTTTATTAAGAATAAGATAAATATTAAAAATTAATAGTAGTAAGGCTTATATAATAATTAAGTTAATTTTAAAAATATTTATAATAAGATTATTTTATTTCACTATTAAAAACTTTTCTTTATTATTATTAAAAAAAATAATTATAAAAGAATATTATATATTTTATTTCTGATACTAACTCTAGTATTTTTTAATACTTTTTAAAAAATATTATAAAAATAATTTATTTATTTTTAAAAAATATAATAATATTTTTTTTCTTAAAATAGTCTCTACGTCTGATAAATTCAGAGATATTAATAATACTTAAATTCTGTCTATTTTTTTTCGATAATTTTAAAGCTTTTTAATACTTCTTAAAATATTTTTAAAATTATTATATAAGTATATTTTATTTTTTAAAATATAGACAGCTGGTTTAACTCTTAATATATTTAAAGCTTTTTTTAATATAATCTGATAATTATTATATAAAACTTTTTTTTAAATAATACCGCTTTTTAGATCGAAATACGGTAAAAATATTATTACTATATAAAATAAAAATATTATACTTTTTAATTATTTAATTTATATTATTTCGAAGTAATTAGATAAATAGAATATATTAATAAAATCTTTTAGTATAATTTTAGTTCTGTTTTTTTACGGTGTTTTGTTTATTAAATATATTTTAAATAAAGTTTTTATAGTAGATATAGGCCTAAATAGACGGTCTAAACACAGTTTAATATAATATTTAAAAATAAAAAAAAATAAAATAGTAGAAATATTTTTTTTTAAATATAAATAAAATAGTATCTTATAAATAATAAAAGAAAAATAAATCTATTAAAAATATTATAAAACTGATAATTCTATATATATAATATTTTAAAAAGATTAGAAAGTATAAAATAAAATATAATATTAGTTTATAATATAATACAGAAGATCTTAATAATATAATTAATTATTATTTTATATAAATAAGTTAAATTAATAATTTATTAGCTACGGCGATTAACTTACCAAAAATAAAATATTAACTAAATATTAAGATAAAAATATATTTAATAAATTAGTTTAGTTAATAAAATATTAAGTTAATTTAAAATTAAGATAGTAATATAGATAGATAAAAGTAATAAGTTTTATATCTAGTTATAATTATAAAAATTTATATAAATAATAGTAAGATTAAAATTAAGTCGGTAATATAAAATAATATAAATAATATTTATACTAGATATATTATTAGACTTATAAAGAATTATTACTATTTAATTTAATTTTATTTAAAAATACTAGATAGTAAAAGCTTTTATTACTATTATATAATTTTAGAAAATAAAATAAGAAATTTATATATTTAAGTATTAATATAGTCTAATTAGATATTTTTAATTAATAATTAAGTCTAACTGTTATAGTTAGAGATTACTATATATAATAATAATTAGAATATAAGTTTTTTTATTTTTAAAAAATATTAACTGCTGGCTGTATTATACTTTTTTAGTTATAAAGAATTATTATAGTCTTATTTTATATATTTTATAATATAACTATATTATAAAAATAAATATCTTCTGCTTTTATAAATTCTAAAATAGATAATATAGTATATACTAAGAAAAGCTAGGCTTAGTTATAAAATAAACTATTTAAATTTTATACTTTTTTAAGTTAATTAAATAAAGATTATTTTATTATTATTTATTTATTTTTATATAATAAGACTATTTTATCTTTCTTAGATATTAAAAAGATATATTATTTATTATAAATTAAAATATTTATTTTTTTATTTATTCTTGATTTATAATTTGCTTAATTAGTTATATTTTTTTTATATCTAAGTTCTACTATTTATATAAAGATTTTATTATTTTTTTATATATTACACTGTATGTAGCTGCTATTAATACTTTTATTTAAACTAAGAATAACTTAGTAATTTAATAATTAAGATTATATTAATTAAACTACTATTATTTTTTAATTATTAATTTATTATTCTTGCTTTTGTTTTAACAAGCTAATAAATAGATTAAACTAATTAGTAATAATAATCGGATTAAATCAGATAAACTAATTTAATAAATTAAATAAAAATAAATAAAAAGAAATAAGCTGATATAAATATTTAATCTTTTCTAATTAGTATTTATTAATAACTTTAGTTAAAATATTATTATAGTTAAAATTTAGTATTTAAAAAAAGAAATTTTAATATACTTTTACTCTATTAGAAAGTTTCTATTTTATTATAATATTTTATATTTACCGAAGCTTTATTAAATAAATATATTAAGCTTAATATAAAAGTTTTTATAACAGAAAATATAAAAACTAATAAAAGATATAAATAGTTCTGTTTTTATATAAAAAGCTAGACTCGGGCTATAAAATAAAAAAAATAAAGCTATTTTAATATATATTTAAAAAATAATCTAAATAATAAAAAGTTTTTAGTTATAGTTTATATATTATATATAAAAAAGACTTAGTAAGTCAGTCTAAAAACCAACTGTAAGAAATAATATTAGTTTGTATATATAATAGATTATTTATTTTTTATAATACATCTAATATATATTTTATATACTTATAAAAAGATATTTATATTAATAATATTAGTTTATAATTATATAGATTTTTATATTAATAAAAGCTGTTATTATATAAATTTCTATAATAAAAAAATAAGAATTATTATATATACTTATTTTTTTACCAATAGAATATCTAGTTATATATATAGCTTGATTTTCTGCCGGTATTATTTATAATATAAAGATTCTAGTTTCTGCTAAAGATTTCTACTGAAAAAATCTAGAATATAAATAATTTAGTTTAAAAAATCTTATTTTTAATTTATAGAATCTAAAATTTATTTTATAATTATTATTTACAAGCTTATTTTTTAGATATTTTTAAGTTAAACTATAATTAATAAAAAAATAGAAAATAAAAGCTTTTTTATATAGAAATATAAAATTCTTAAAATATTATAGTAAATATTATATAATAATAATAAATGCTGGCAACGAGCCGAATTCTAGATTCTTAAATTATTATTATTCTAATAATCTATTATATATATTTTATATATAATCTATTTAATTGCGTGCAAACTTTTTATTATTTTTAATTAAGTATTATAATAATAGTTTTATAAGACTAGTACTTTCGAAATAAGCTTATATATTAAAAAAATATTTTTAAAAACTGGAATTATTGCGTTGAAAGCAGCTAACTTTTTTATAATAAATTAAATAGTTTATTTTTTTTTAACTGTAAGACAAAGCTGTTATACAATACCTACTGCTATAGCAGCCTATATCTACTACTATAGCAGCCGCTTCGGGGTCGATACGGATTTATCGGGATTTTAATCCAGATATCTATATTATTATATTATTTACTTCTTTTTTTTATATAATATATTGTTCTGAGATTTTTTAGAAAAAAAGATTTCTTAAGAATTAATTTTAAAATTAATAAAAAACTATTTTTAATTATCTTACTTGCCTTATCTAACCAGTATATCTACTATATTAAATAATTTTTAATAATTTCTAATTCTTCTTTTTTTTAGTTATTTAAAAAAAAGTAATATATTATTTAATAAATTTTTATTAAAATTATTTTAAGGCACTTTGTCTGCTTCTAAATCATATTATTTAATTTAGACAGATATTTAAGAAGTATAAACTATTATTTACTAATTAAAATAATTAAAATAATTAAAAAAATAGATTTAAATATTATAAACAGAATATAAAGATATTAAATTTTTAATAAAATTATAATAATATTATACTAGCTCGATCTTATCTTCTAAATAAAAGAAAAATTAAATTTAAAAAAATCTTTATTTTTTTTCTTTAGTTTAGTTTATAATAGAGAATAGAATAGATTTATAATTTATTATATACTTTTAAAAAAGCCTTTCGGAAGTATTAAACAAAAAATTAAAAAATTCTAACTATAGTTAGTTATTTAAATTCTATCTATCAGTAGAAATAGTACTAATATATTAATAAAAAATCTCTAAAAAACTACCGAAATACTAAAAAATTATAAGATTATTTTATTTAATAGACTTTTTTTTTATTTAAAATATAGTTATTCTATAGTTTAATATTATAAAACAGCTTAAACAAATCCACCAATAAACTAATTAAAATCTAAAAAAGTTTTATTTTTATTTAAATATCTTAGAATATTACTTCAAATCTAAATAAAATAATAAATATATATTAATCTTTTTTTTAAAGCTGGTACCAGAACTTAGGTAATATATTTATAAATATATATTAAAACTATTAGACTTTCGAGAAAAAATAGTATCTATTATTATTTATTATTAGAATATATTAAACTAAAAAAAAATAAGATCTAGAAAACTAAGAATACTATTTAAATAAAATTTTTAGAAAATCCGGATTTTTATAGTTTAATAATAAGTTCTTTTTGTCTAAATCTTCTCGAAATAAAAAAAATTAAAAAAAAATCCTTTATTATTATAAATATAATAATAAATATTATTTAGCCAACTAATATTTTAATAAAAATAAAGATAGAATTAAACTAGAACTAATAGAAAAAAAATAATAGTTAAAAAAATCTTTATATTTTTAATAAACTAGTTTAAAATAAAAACTACTACTTGTTTTAATATATTTATTTACTTTAAAAATATACTTAAAATTTATACAGACTTAGATTTGTATACTAAAATTAATCTTATTAACTATTAATTTATTTAGTAATTTTATTTAAATATAGTCTATTTTATATTTCTACTAGTTGTTATAATTAATTATCTTATTATAAATATTTATAATATATAAAAAATCCCTATTACTACTACTAATTCAAGAAGAATTATATAATTATTTATAAAATATTATATAGCTATTAATTATAATCTAAATCTTTCTAAAAGTTTTATTCTACTTTTAATAACTATTTTAAAAAATCTATATATTTATTTATTTATATAAAATTAATAGTAGTAGTATAAGACCTAAATATTAAAAATCTTATTTTTTTATAAATTTATAAAAGCTTGCTGAAATCTTATTTATATTTATATTATTATTAAACTTCCAGAGAATATTTAGCTACTAAAAAATAAAGTCTTTTTAAATTATTTATAAATTAAACCTAATAAAATTATATTATTTTTTAAGCTTTAAGATTTTATAGATATATTTTTTTCTAATTATTTTTAATAACTTTTTTTTTACAGATTCTCGGACTATACTATTAATCTAAAAAATAGTAAAATTCTATTATATAGATTTATTTATTTTTTATTTTAAGTTAAGTTTTAATTCTTTTGTTATTATATTAATAAAAATATTTTATTAAAATAAATTTAATTTTTTAAAAGTTCTACAGAAGCTTCTATTCTTTTTATATTAAAAAAAAATAAAGGTCTCCGATTATATATAAATTACAGAAAACTTAATAAGATTTTAGTTAGAAATTACTATTTTTTATTTCTAATTTTAAAAATTTTAGATAGGATTATAAAAGCCAAATATTTTTTTAAACTAAATATTTAAAATATATATTACCGAATTTATATTAAATAAAAACATAAATAAAAAACAGTTTTTTAAATCTGTTATAAATATTTTAAATATTTAATTATATTCTTTAGATTAATTAATACTTTAATTATATTTTAAAACTATATCTATTTAGCTCTTTATAATATATTAGATATTTTTTATATTATTTATTTAGATAATATTCTTATTTTTTTAAAAAACCGTTCTTTGTATATTTTTTATTTATATTAAATATTAGAATACTTATAAAAAGCAGATCTTTATATTAAACTATTAAAGTATACTTTCTACTAAAATTATATTAAATTTCTAAAATATATTATATTTTTATATAGTATATTAATAGATTTCTGACAGATAATCAATATTTTTATATAATTAATATTAATTATATATTATAAGATTTAAATATTCTTAGGATTTTATAATTTTTATTAGTATTTTATTAAGAATTATTTCTTAATTATATTATTACTAATCTTTTTTTTGAAAGGCACCTAGAATAGAAAAAAACCTAAAAAAATAATATCAACTAATAAAAAAATAACAGTATTCTAATAGCTTTTTTATAATTTTAAAACTATATTTTTATTAAAATATTTTAATTCTTAACAGAAGATTCGAATAGAAACAGATACTTTTTAATAAAATATAATAAAAATACTATTCCAACCGGATAATTATAAAATATATTATTTTATTATATTCTGGTCGAAAAAATTTAATAATATTAAAACTTACTATTTAATCTCAGATCAAGAGCTTTTTACTATTATTTATTTATTTAAATATTAGTATTAATATTTTAAAAAACTATTATATACTATTAAAGTTTTTTTAAACTATTAAAATCTTTAGACTTTTATAAAACAGCTAAAACTAAATAATTGTTAGGCTTAATAGTATATATATTTTAATAGTTATAACTTTATTATTTAATATTAGTCCGGTAGATATAATTCTGCCGATCTATTATTAAAAATAAAAAGAAATTTAAAAATCCTATTTAATATAAAAATTCTAAAGTTAATATAATATCAAATAGCTGATATCTCTTATAAAATTATAGCTAGTTTTAGAAAATTTTAACTAGAATATAATAAAATATTTTTATAAAAAAATTCTAAATCCTATACCCGCCAGCATATATTAAGTTTATTAGAATTTAAATATAATTAAACTAGTATAAAAACAGTTAGCTAGACTATTAAAATAAAAATATTTTATAATTTATATATTAATATATCAGCAGTATTCTAAGTATATGAATATAAAAACTTGTTATATTCTAAAACTGTTAAAATAAGCTTATTTTATAATAAATATATTAGTATATCAGTAGTATTCCAAGCATATAAAAATAAAAACTTATTTTATTTTAAGATTAATAAAAAATTATATTTTCTAATTAGAAGAATCTAAAATAAAGATATAAAGATATATTATCAAAAACTTGCTGTTTTAAAAAATAATTCTAGATCTAAATATTAAAAAATTAGTAAGAATAATCTTATTATATATAAGTACTACTTGTATATTTCTATAAAACAAAATCTTCGGTAATATTTATTAAACTTTTATTATAATAATCGGCTAGCAGGCTATTTTAGATAATTAAAAATAAAAATTCTTCTTAAAAGAAAGTTCTATTAAATAAATCTTTATAAAAATATAATTATTTATGTCAGAAAGTACTTTATATATTAAGAAATTATATTTATTAAATATAAACTATACAGGGAGCTTAAATTACTATTAATTTTTAGCTGATTTTTTATCGAACTATTTATAGACTTTATTATAAATCTATTTTTTATTATAATAAAAGATAATATTTTAAATTTAATTCTTATTATTATAAATAAGTTTATAAAGTAGTATTAATTTTTATTTATTTTATATATTATAACTGCTTTAGAACTTGCTAAACTTTTTTATAAAAAGATTAAACTTTAGTTTAGATTATTTTAGAATATAATTTTAGATAGAGATTTTTTTTTACTAGTAAATTTTAATCCCAAGTTGCTTATTATATTTAGATTAAATTTTATTTATTAACATTATTTCGACCCCAGACCGATAGTTAAACTAAAAAAATAAATTAGATTTTTAAATAATATTTTTAATATTTTATTAATAAAAATTATCTGAACTGGTCTACTTTATTATCTTTTATTTAATTTATTTATAATAATACTCTGAATTTAACTACTAATTATTCTTTTTTTAAGATTTTTTTAGATTATTTATTTAACTTTTATTTTTATACCGAGGTCGGTATTTTTCAGAAAAAAATTTCTATAGTTAAAAATCAAATTAATAAGCTAGCTATACTATAAAAAAACCTATAAAATTACTAGCGAAAAGCTAATAAAATAATAAAAAAATACTATAATAAAAAATACTAGCTAATAATTTTTAAAAAAAAAATCTTATAAAACTGTTTACTAAGAATTTAAAAATTAAGATTTTATTTTAAAAGCTAGCTTTTTAATATATTAGATTTTTAAAAATTCTAGTAGCTATTAAAAAATAAATATATTAAATTTTTCTGTCTAACTACTATAATCGAATCTATAATATCTTTTATATATTATTATTAAAAGAATAAAAATCTAGTATAGATTTATAAAACCAACTCTATCCTTTAGATTTAAAAAAGAAAAAAAAGTTTAAGATTAAAGATATTAAAAATAAACAAACTTTTAATAATAAATAATATTTTCTAATTAAATAAACAGGCTAACTAAATAAATATAATAAATAAATCCCGGAAAAATTTATAAATAATATCTAATAAGCTATTTAAAGCTATAAAAAATAAAAAAAAATTAAAATAATAGAAAATATCTTATTTTTAAATATAAAAAAAACAACCGAATCTATATCAAATTACTATATTAAATATATTCAAAAATTAATACTAAAATATATAATTAAAATAAAAAACTTTTATAAATAAGCTAAATTCTTATTAAAAAACTACCAGACTAATCCGGCTAATTGGTATTATTCTTATAAAAAATAAACAGTAAAAAACCAAATCTATTTTATTTTTTAAGTATAGAAACCCTAAAAAAAGATCTTATTACTATATATAATATATATTTTATAATAAATCTTTTTAAAAAATATCTATTTAATCCCAGTTTATAAAAAAAACCTGTTATTTTTAGATATTAAATAAAATATAATTAAATTATCTGTAATAAAACAACAGCCC